TTTTTTTGTTTTAATCTTAGATCATATAATTATTTCGAGCTAATTAAATTTTTTACAGTTTAATTTTATTAAATTTTGTACAGTTAAATTTTATAAAAAGAAACTACCAATACCGGCGCACTTTTCTACGCCAAAAAAACGGACGAACTCAGAGTTTTTAAATTGATTTTTTTTTAATTCCTTAATGCTAACGGCAAAAAAATTTGTGGTTTTTTCATTTGGCTACACTTGCATGATTTTGACATAAGATTTTTTAGGTAAGCTCTTTTCGCTTTTGCACAAAGGGTCCCAGCTGATTTGCATCGAACTGCTCTTCTCACCAGTGATGGAAAGGTAGGTACAAATGTACTTTTTTTTAGCCGTTTTATAATTTTAAAGTACATTCAGCCAAATAAATTTGCCTAAATGAATCTATCTGGGCTTGGATAGCATAAGTCAAAGGGCCACGACGAACCTTGTGCAGATTTGTTCGCATTTGTTGCATTCGAACACATCTCTTCTTAAATAGATTTGTATACCTTTCATGAGCATGAAATGGTATTATAACCTTAGTTCGATGTTTGTAAGTACCAGAAAAAGATGAGACCCATGAAAATGTATACTTACACATGGTGGGCCAAATAAAAAATACGAACTTCACGCAGCAGGCCCATAGTTTGCCTAGCGGTGTGCGCAGTCACTCCATCTTGTTGGAACCAGAAATTAGGATGCTGCCTGTTGCACACGGGGGCCGCCCCATATAAGCGGGTGCTCAAAATTTTGAAATAATTTTCTTTCCATTAGACTCGCTTGAACTACTTTCTAAGAGTAAATTTTTGACGTCTTAACCCATTATTGATCATGCATTAACCCATTGGTGATCCATTTTTTGTAAAATCTTATGTTAAGTTAATTTGATTTTATTATTGTGCAACTTATGAATAATTTAACCCATTTACGACTTTGACTTAACGCATTGATAACCATATTTTAACCCATTTGTGGTCAATTTTTTTATAGAGCATTTCCCAGCTAAACTTAATGGGATAAATGCACGGTCAAAACAAAGTTGAAAGTAAAAATAATTTCAGCTCTCTAAAAATATTTTTTTTGGGAAAATTTGTCAAAAAAGTCGAAATTATTTTTAGTTTCGTCTTTGATTCGACTATGAATATGACTCATTATGTTTTGAATTTAAAGAGATTTACAAATTAAGCATACAAAATATCGAAAAGCAAGTAATGTATCTAATTAAAATCATTACTTAATTAAAAAATCAGCTACATTTTTATAAAAAAATTAATTAAAATAAAATAAAAACAAGTAATTTTTGAGCAAAAAACAAAGCCGACTTCAATTCTCATATACAAATTTAAGATTATCGTTAATTTCTTCACGATCCAATTATCGGTACCACCCTTCCGATGAAAAAAATTATCAAAAGCGTTATTTTTATCGTTTATTAAAAAAAAAAATCCGACGAATTGATAACCTCCTCCCTTTTTTGAAGTCGGTTAATGAAATAAATAGTCAAAACATAAATTAAATTAATTAAAGTGCAAGTTTGAATTAGCTAGGACTTACGTATTTCCATACGAAGTATGTTCGACGATTTTTTATATGGAGAAAATGAGCGACATCTAAATATCTAATTAAAAACACCGTTATTTTTACGAAGTTTGAAACTTACATTTATTCGATTATTGTTAAGAAATAAATATATTAAAAAAAAAATTATTCAAATTAAATAATAATAAAAAAAATAGTCAAAACTTGTCAATATGTGGGTGTCTCATAGTTATAATAAGCACTATATAATGAAAACTGTGACACTTATTCCTCATAGTTGGAATCTAAATTCTACTATAGATCTCTCTAAAGTTTTTAAAGTCCTTGTTCGAAGTAAATGCGCTTTTTAATCATTGAGCAACCTCAAAATAATAAAAATCATAAGTTCGAAATGAAACAGAATCAAACTTAACCAGAAGTGTACGCTTTTTGTTTGTTCAAATGTGTCAAGTTAGCACACGCATTCTCCGAGCCGAAAAACGACAGAAAGCAGAAAACTTACCCTCAAACGTAGAATTTAATGGGGAATAAACCATAATAGGGTTTTTTCCAAAAACAAAAAAAAAAACATTTTTAAAAAATTGAATTTTGAGCACGCTTGCCCCAGTGTGCGTTGGCCGCAAAAAGTTGTCAATCATTATTCTGTAAGAAGCCCCAGAAATCGTTTCAGGAATTTCATCCTCATTCTCGTGAAAATATGGGCCGATAACTTTTGCGGCCATAACACCGCACCAGTGCATCTGGATGGGTATAACTGGTGTTGGTGTGTTGCCCTTGGATTATCAGAGTCCCGCAATCTACAGTTTTGCTTGGAAATGCGCTTCATCCGACATTAGAACATTACCTGAAAAATCAATTTGTGTGGCTAATTGTGTAAAACGAATAGCGTCTTGCTGTAGGTATCCATATGATTTTCCAAGAGATTACCTACATATAACATGCCGAAAGGAAAGACCAATAATATTAAAAGATAAAGAAGTTATACATAGGTGTTTAACATTGGTAGGTCTTATTTGGCCCACCCTGTACTATATATGCTGAAGGGAAACTTATATCAAAAAACCTTTCAGAAATATGTATGCTACTTTAAGAATTTTTAAAATTCTCTTGGTTTAAAGATCTTTGTGCTCTAGAGTTAAGAGCCCAATTATATTCTGAATAAGCAATTACAAAAAATCAAATGAGTCGGCTATTGGTTTTTATGTAAAACTTTTAAATTAATTTAGTTTGCAACTTTCCTTTCAGATTTTGTAGAAAAATTATGCAGTTTTGTTGCCCATTAAATTTTAGTCCAATAAGGTTCAAGTTTGAAGTTGCTAAGAAATCGTATTGATTTCTGGGATTTTTTTTTTGCTGACGGGTTATTTCTTTTCTTCAAAAAAAATTTGTCGAACATACTTTGTATGAAAGAAATTGTGTGAAAAAAAATTGCCAAAGATCAAGACAATTTTTTAGCAACTCCAAACATGCTTTTTTTATACTAAAAATTGAATGTGCTATAAAATGGCTTACTTAGAATTTTTCTAAAAAATCTGATTGGAAAGCTGCAAATAAGTACGCTAATTTATTGAATTTTCCTGAGTTTTGCGCAAAGTTAAGAGATTTTATTTTTATCTTTTTTGTTCTAGTATGATAGTATGAATATATTTTAATAAAAAATTTGCGAAAAGATATTATTAAAAAAAACTTTGCATGCATTGCGAAAACTTCTCTGTGCCAGTAGTTTTGTCCGGCACTGTATGTGGTTCGACAGAACTATTTTCTACTTTTTTTTTCATTTATTAAAACTTTGTAGTGAGATTTTTTCCAGCATCCACATAGGCCGCAAGCTTTGTAGACAACAACTTTCAAAAAATCCTTTAAATCAGTAAAGACGAAATAATATCCTTCGCGAGAAGCTTTTTAAGACTTTCAGTAAAGGTGAAAGCTTCCTCTGGTCGTTGCTACCCTACCTCGAATACATACACCCAATGTATTTTTCAGAAAAGCAAGATGCCAGCAAAAATTTATTCATTTAATTTTAAGAAAAAATCAAATTTATTTGGTTTACTTCTTCTACTTAATTAAACTAAAATCTCTCTCGATTCCTAACAAAAGGAAATTGAAATAAATCTCATTTTCTTTTCGCTCCTCCATTTATATTTCAGGGAAAGCGCTGCCTATCAGATGCTTGCCACGATAACGCCAAGTGTAGGTGACAATACCAAGACGTTGATTGCCCAAGGAAACTGGACAAGAACGATCAGGACGCAGCTGGAAGCAAACGGTATACAAAGCCAATTCTAATTCCGGCGAAGTGCCAGCAAAGACGCCATTCACTGGCTTAGTGACGCCATTGTGGGTGAAGCGTACTTTCAAAACTTTGCCTTTCTGAGGAAGAGAAGAAGCAAAACAATAAAGATAATGAAATAAATAAAAAGAAAAAAGTCTCAAACTAACATTTCCCAAATCGACTTGATTCAGATAGCCTTTGTAGTCCAATCGACCGGCCTTCTCTTCGTCCGCAAAGTACACCCAATTATGTAGACCAATTAGCGTGCCATTCTTTACCTCGTGCACGAAAACATGCTCAAAGCCGGAACTGCCGATACGTCCTTGGCCGCGTGAATATTGTGTGAACCAGAGTTCTTTCACGAGATCGCGATGCGTCTTCGGATCAGGTGTGACAATGCCTGGGATAGAGAAATAGAGCAAAAGATTAATACGTATATGATATATGAGTTTCCGGGTAAGTCGACTTACCTTTGTTCTGCAGGAAAAGCATAGCCTGTCGCATAACCTGTGTACCCATTACTGCATCGACAAATTCGTTCTCTTCACGCCGTTCGTTGACTGTCACGTGCTCATTGGCTAGAGTATCCTCCTCGTAGTTATCGAAAAGTGCGCGCATCTTGGCGACTGTAGGGGTTTCAAAGGCGCGCGGTTCGACCTCAAAGAGGCTGAGAAGAAAATAAGAGTGACTCTAGTTAAAATCGAAATCGTAAGATATAATCTGAATTTGAGGACGTTACTTACGGTTTCGGCGCCTCGTCTGTGCTATCAATAGACCTCGTCTTGCCCTGTGGATTTACGTTCACGTAGTTCAACAGACTCTGCTCTTTGGCATAAAGCTGCTCAGTGAGTGCGCGTATTTCATCATCGCTTGCGAGTGAACTTCCAGTAGCCGCATTACCATTGGCTGAACCGGGTCTTGCAGTGGTTGATGGACCAGGTACGTGTGGAACAAACGAAACACCAGTTGGACCTCCGGCAGGTGCGCTTGGTTTCGTCGGACTTGTCGGTGTTGGAGCGCCGGGTGAAATGCTGCTGCTACCTGGTCGTGATGGTGCTGCTGGTGTTGGCGAGCCCCAAGCGAAAGGCGGTGCTGGCTGTGCAGCGCCACCTGGTGAACTTGGACGAAGGGGCGAAGCTGGCGTGGGGCTACCTGGTGTACGTGGTGTAGGCAATGGAGGGAAGTCTTCTTTAGCCCCACCTGATGGGCGACGTGGCGGTGGCAGAGGTGGAAAGTCGTCTTTCGGCGTAGCAGGTCTGTGTGTTGTCGATGATGCACCGCTGCCGCTGAAACCATTACGCACATCCAGACCCAATGAACTACCAGGTGTACCTGGCTTGGGCGTCGTCGTAGTGCTGGTGCTAGTTGTAGTAGTCGTGCTGGTCAAAGGTGCCAAACCGAAGCCCGGGCGACCAGCATTACCACCCTGCGGACGCGCGCCACCACCATAACTTAGATCCAGCCCAGACGGTTGCGCCTTTGGTGGCTGATAAGGTGCAAAACCGGGTGGTAAATTTGGTTGCGCCGCACCTGGGCGGCCAAAAGTATTCGTATTACTACCAGCGCCAAATGCGTTGACGTTGCCAAAGTGGGACGCAGTAGGTCCAACCTGTGGGCGTTGCTGTTGTGTTTGTGTCTGTTGCTGTGCACCACCGGCTTGTGGCCGTACGGCTACAGGTGTGGTGGGCACTTGCGCTCCAGATTGTTGTGTGGGTTGTGGCCACCGAGGTGGCTGCTGTGCATTGCCTGCCAATGGTGATGATGGCGGTGTGTCAGGACGTGGGCCGAGTGGCATCAGCGGCGCTTGTGGGTTAATTGCCAACGGTGGCGGTCGTTGTGCGCCAGCGGCGTTTGGTTGTACGCGCGGTGTATTTGGCTGCGGTTGTGGTTGTGCGCTGATCGTTTGTGTAGGTGGTGGCACATTTCTGGGCGGCAGAGGTGTGGTGGTGGTCGATGTCTTATCGCCGCCACTGCCAAACAGGCGACTAAACCAACCGGACTTTTTTGTTGTCTGCTCTTCTGGCGGCGCAGGGGTTATCTCGATCTCAGTTTTGTAGCTGGCTGGAAAATAATTTTTTTTTAGTAAAAGAAAGATGATGAGCATATGTATGTGTGTACATATGTATATTAGGGTGGTAGTCAAATTTGAAAATTTGATTGCCGAAAATAAGGGAACTTTACTTTTAATCGCTGTTTTTTAGGATTTTTTCAAGAACTCCAAATTTTTTAGGTTTACTAATGTTTATACATAGATACATATGTATTAAAATAAAATGTTTAATTTTCATACTTGGCTTTTTAGTTAAAAAATATGAATCAATTTTAATAAATTGTACATTAGGCTAAAATTGTAAGCACAATAAGATTTCTGTTAAATTGCATAATTTTATTTCTTTCGTCCTAACATATTTTTTTATTTCAAAAGTAATATTATTTATATTTCAAGAATTTTTTGTAAAACATAAGGTAGCCGACTTTTTAAAGTTTTCTTCTTGATACAGAAATGCTGCTAGGGCATGTGGATGTATTTCTGCATCTTAAAGAAAGTTTTGAAGAAAATATCGGTAACTTTTTTTTGATATTTTTGACACAGTCGCTGGTGCTGTTTACAATTATAAACAAGTAAGAAAGTCTAAGTTCGGGCGGAGCCGAACATTAAATACCCGGCGCAAGTATTAAATATATGTTTTCCACCTTTCCGAAAGCTACCGCTACATGATAAGCCGGGGTGTATACATTTTAAGTAAATTAGCGTCCTTAAATTTCGAAATATTG